ACCTACACGTTATGAACCTGCCAGCATTCCACTGGACTGTTTAAAATCGTCCGTGGTTGTCACTCATTTTCACCTGTCACCCTCATCTCATGATCTATATCATCTTACGTCTCATCCTCAAACTCATCTTTCATCACACACCAACTATTTCATCTACCCATGCTCTACCCAACATATTTGTAGATATAAATTACATATATAGTTTAAATCATATACAAACCTATATAAAACATTCATCCAACATCCATCTCAAATAAAAAAACAATATATAAACATATAACATGTATTTCATAGCAAATACTTCATATCTATGTGTTAGAAGAAAGTAACTACACACTCACACATAACATAGATGTAATATATTCAACCGATACTTGTATTAAAATCTTGTTTATGAAAGTGACTATACACTCACACATAACATAGATGTAATACATTCAACCGATACTTGTATTAAAATCGTTTTTATGAAAGGGACTATAGACTCACTTGTTTAGACGATGCTTGGACAACACTACGGCTCTTCGAGTAGCAATTCTCCGGTGAAACCGGGATATCTTCACACACTGGGCTTCTCGCGGGCAGAGCTTCGACTTGGAAACTCTTTTCTTTTCGGGATCTTCGGACTTCAGGACTTGCTTCGGGTCTCGGGATGATATCGGGGCTTCGGGGGTATTTCTTTGCATGTAAATCAATGTAATACGGGTGAGAGAAAAGAGATTTGGCAACCACAAACGACTGCCCCTTCAAATCTATTTATAGGGCTGTTTTCTCGATTTTGACGTTGTGAACAGTGTTCCCACATTGTGGGCATAAACGTCATTGCATGTATCATCTTCCACTTGCTATGTCAGGCTCCAGAAGACGTCAGAAGCCAGTCCATGTCGTGAACACTGTTTTCACGTCGTGGTGTCTGACAGTTTTGGGGTTTCGTGCCTCGAACTTCAGAAATTCATAACTTCCGCATACGAAGTCCGTTTTCAAGTTTTTTATATCGACGCGTAGGTCAAAACAAGATCTACAACTTTCATTTAGACTTCATCGGCTAGTTTTGACTTTATTTTTATTATATATTTTTTATATTATTTTTAGTAGGCCGAGACAGGAAAACTCTGTTAGGAAATCATAACTCCTTCGTATGACGTCCGTTTTCATCTGTCTTTTAACCGTTGGACTACTATCGACGAGATCTTCAATTCTCGTTTAGATTGTTTCGGCTAAATATCGCTCAATCTCATATTCGAACTTCGGGTTGTACACTGCTAAGCCGAAACTTCGAAACATCATAACTTCCTCATACGGAGTCAGATTTGGGCGTTCTTTTCATGCATGCTCTCGGTTTAACGTATTCTAAGACTTTTGATAGATCGCAAAATCCAAATATCACTCTATCGTAAATTCACTATTTACATCGCGCTATGTCGTGTCGGTTCTGTCGCAAAACTTCGACAGGTCATAACTTCTTCATTATAACTCGGATTTCGGCGTTCTTTATATGTACAAAATCCTTGTAACATATACTATGACTTAGTTAAGATTACTCCTTCTAAATAATCTTCCATCAAAAAAGTCATTTTTGAGACTTATCGTCTCTAAATTGACTAGCCCTGATCTACGGGCATTACAGTCTTCAACTCCAAAAGTAACTTCATCATCTCCCTCTCTTAAAGTAAGTTTGGATTTGCGAATATCGACCAAGGATTGAGCAGTATTTAATAAAGGGCGATCAAGAATGATTAGGACATTAACATATTCCTTCATATCCAAAACAACAAAGTTAATTGGAAAAACAAATTTCCTAATTTTCACTCAAATATCCTCCACAATGCCCCTTGGATGTGTCACTGAACGGTTAGCCATGTGAATTGTCATTCTTGTACCCTTCAAATCCGAAAGATTTAGTTTTTGATAGAATGAAAAAGACATTAGATTTATGCTAGCTCCAGAAGCGGCTAAAGCATAAGTCTTTGTATTATTTCCAAATTCACACGGAAGCGTGAGGCGTCCAAAATCTCCCATTTTCTTTGGTAACTTTCCCAATATTACTTTAGAACTTTTCTCACTAAGGATCACCTTGCTATTCTTTTCTAATTGTTGGCGAGTGTCAAGCAGAGCTTGCAAGAACTTAGCATATTCAGGAACTTTAGACAATAATTCAATGAAAGGGGTGTTGATTGAAATACCCTTCACTTGCTTCATAAACTTCAAGTGTTCCTGCTCCAGTGGATGAATATGAGCTCGAGACGGAAATGGTAACGGAGGACGATAAGCTTGAACATTACTAAAATTTTTCTGATCAGACCCTGCCCACATCGTGAGGTTTGAATGCTCACGTCGTGAGTTTGATATTTCAGCAACATTTTTTTCTTCAACTTTAGACTTCTTCGGCTTTGTTCTGGACGAGTGTGCATCGACTTCAAGTGCTTCAAGGAACTCAGAGATGGTATCCTCTTCGGTTTCTATTACCATAACATGTGGTTGAGGCTTTTTCTCGGGAATTTTTGGAGATAATTTTTCATGTACCAAAGTAGTTAAATGACGTAGTTGAGCTTTGATATTTTGAATCGATGCTTCGTGATTCCTTAATAAGGATTGCTGATCCTTCATGAGAATTTGGTGTTCCATTATCACTGCATCGGTCTCACCGTGTCTTTTCTCCGAAGCCTCCAGTAGCGGTTGTTATTTTTGGTAGAATCCTCGGCCATTCTGCCTATATTTTTCTTCTTTTTGCTTCTTATATTCTTCATATGGTAACCACTCCTTCTTTGGTTTCCTCCAATCTTCATCATACTTATCTCCACACGAGTAAAACACTTAAGCCTTCTTATTTCCATTATCATCCAAGTGGCACTCTTTTGTCAAGTGTGGACCATTGCATCTTTCACAACCGACTCTAATAGCATGAATTGATTGGTCCATTTTTGTCATCCTTTGGTCCATCGGATTTAGCATAGCTAAAACAGCAGCCATGTCTTCAGAAGTCCCACTACCTATTCCTTTTGCCACATCATGTCTAGGATATGGTACTCACGAGAATGCTAGGAAAACTTTTCAATTAACTCTTTGATTTCAGCCAGATTTTTCTTAGTTAAGGTTCCTTGAGAATCAAGGAGTTGTCTTGTCATGGCATTATCCCCATCATAAAATATAGACACTTCTTGTTGCTCATTCAAGTCATTTTGGGGGCAATTCCTTATCAACCCATTGTAGCGTTCCCATGCTTCATAAAGTGACTCCCCCAGTTGTTGCTCGAAATTTGCTATAGCTTTCTTGAGTTTAGTAACCTTTGAAGGTGGGAAAAAGTGTTCCAAAAATTGCTCGTGCATCTATGCCCAAGTAGTAATTGCATCGGGTGGAAGTGCGTTTAGCCAATCCTTAGCGGCTCCCTTGAAAGTAACGGGAAGCATTCTCAAAAGCACCATCTCTCTTGGAACATTAGGGAAGTTAAAGTAATCTGCTATATCGTTTAATACACCAAGGTGTTTATATGCATCCTCATGGTCTTTCCCGGAAAACGGTACTTTAAGTGCGGACAAAATGTGTCCCTTCAGCTCAAATGTAGTTGCAGCTGGAATCACGGGCTGCACAAGACCTGGACCGGTGTCCTCTCGGATTCTCTTCTTATATGCCTCCATGGACATATCAGCAATGTTTTCCATCACGTTTATTGGCTTGTCTTCGGGTTCAATATGTTCTAACTTGAATTTAGGTTCGGTCTCGTAATCAGAATCTTTTGAATTAGGATTTTCCTCAAAGCTTTCAATCTTGTTTTCGTCTTTCTTTTGATTGCTCGACTCTCCCATGTTCTTCCCTTTCTTTTTCCCAAAAACTAATTTAAGATCCTTGAAAGGCGACTTCTTTGGTGGTTGGTTTTCTCCTACATTCTTATCCGTCATTTTGTGAAGGGATGACTCTAGATCTTCAAGTGGTGGTATCAAAGGTGTGTTATACCCATGGGTCATGAACTACTGCAACAAAAGCAAAAATTAAAATGTAAAAATGAACAAAAACTACTTAAGACTACCTACAGACTGTCCACCATGACGTGGTATAGGGCACCACGTGATGTTGTCGCAACTAAACTAAACAGAAACGAAAAACAAAATAAAACGTAACTTACTAAGCTCGTATCGTGAGTTCAGTTCTAAAATGAAAACTAAGGCAAACACTTAACTTTTTGTAGGTTTTACCCCACAAAAAGGATTGATTAACCTAAAGCAAATAAATTAACAATCAAATAAGCCGTTCCCCGGCAACGGCAACAAAAACTCGATGTTTTCTAATAGCTACACCTAATTTTACCTCCTATCCTACTAGCTATCCGATCCAGGGCAGTGTACCATTTCACAAATAGTATAGCACAAACCGTCGAGTATCGATCTCAGGGAATGAAATGAATTGCTTAAGCTACTTACTATTAAATTAACCTAAAATTCTAAGCAAAAGTAAAATGGTTTTTTTTATCTAATTTTGCAAGTTTAGACAAACTTAAATTCTTAACAACTATTCAATCAATATTCAAAACACTTATGTTAATTCAAATCCACTTTCCCTCAATGGTTAGCTATTTATTATGGATAATTCTTGTTGGTTACCAATTAATATATTATTAGCAATTTGAGTCCAAATTTACCAATGTTGAATTAATTCATGTAAAGTTATGCATGGTCATACATAATTTAACACATAATCAATTATTAAACAGGATTGGAGCTATGTAAGATTGAGTTAACAAACACAATTACATTTACAATATGTGTTCTCTAGCACATCCAAATTCAAATACTTTAATTACTTATCTAAGATTGGTTCGATCTTAGATCTAATAATCTAATAGTCACTAAACTACATAGAATATGAATTAAAACTAGATAGGTATAACCTGTGATCGACACCCTACTTACCTAAGCTATTATGATTTTTTTTTTTTTGAGTTGTATCAACCACCTCTTCCATTCCCATCCTATGCCAAGGAAAATTTGATAAATCAAGGAAACACAATGTTCATGGAGCATAACGAACTTAAAGAGCAATTGGAAAAAGAAGAAAAGCCTTCGAAACCTCTAATGTCAACACCAATGATTTTTGAGGTGTTTGCTTTTACAAGACCACCAAATCCAGTAACAGAGTTGATTGAAGAAAAAGAAGAAGAGAGTGATGAGTCCAATTTTGATAAGAAAAACCTAGAAAGAGACAAGAAAAAAGCTAAAGACACAAGAATGAGGAAAGAACCCAAGCGAAAGCACAAAGAAGATGTTAACTCAACAATGCAAGAAAGCTCAAGAAAGGCATTCAATGGATGGGTTGCCTACAAGAAAATAAGGCTCGAGATGATGGAGAACGGGGAGGTTACAGTTCCACCTGATGCAACGTAGATTGGGAAGGAGTCTGGCTTACGACTCGTTTAAAAAGAAGCGTTTGTAAGGAGGCAACCAGATGTTTTTAGAGTTTGCATTTTCTTTTCTTTTTTATTTAGTTTTAGTTTTAGTTTTATTTTTCTTTTTAGTTTTATTTTACCTTAACCGAATGAAGATGTGTTGCTCTAGTTCTTGATCTTATTTTGTAGTGTTGAGCGAAAGTGAAGCAGTGAATGAGCTTAATTTGAAGAAGTTGTGCGATTTTTGAAGTTCATAATTGAAGAACACGTTTTTGAAATAAAGCAATCTAGTATCAAATTCAACATGCTAGGTTTAAACAATCAAACATAAGCCATTAACCAAATAGAAAAATCCATACTAACATAACCCATGAGTTCTAGCTTCATTTAGCTAACATAAGCAGGTAGATTTAGCTACTCATAGTAACAATCAAACAAGCAATCCTCATAATCAAAAGCATAATAATGTACCAAACTAAGAATTAAGTATGATCTTCTTCTTCTTCCTTGGTTGAAATTACTAGATTCCTATCTTCTTTTTCAATGAAAAACGACTTCTGGAAACTATTTTCTCTAGCCAACCTCTAAAATCCATAAGCATCAAAACTATTTATAGATTTCGATTTTAACCTCCTCATGTCGTGAGAAAAAGATTCTCACATCGTGAGCTTAGTATTTATCCGTATTGAACACGGATTCTTGCCTCCGGATGTTTATCTTCTAAAACTTTAATACTCACTTCGTGAGGCTTGATTCCTCACGTCATGAGGTCGTCTTTTTGCTGAATTCTTCATCTTTTAAGCTTTAAACCTCCAAAGTTCCAATCCTTGTCGCCTTTAGTCCTTATTCTTCAAGATGAATTCTTTTAGCTGCAAAATACAATTACATCTTATAAGTATCACTTATCTATGAAAATAACCAAAATATTAATCAAAATGTATTCAAATATTGCCTAAAAATATGTATAAATATGGCAATATCAGCACCCATGCTTCTACTAGATAGAATGAATCCCATGCTTGTATGGTATAGACTTTACTTTTGATTATTTAAATTTGAAAGCCATGCCTGGACTAACCTAGTTAGTTTTGGCCATATCTTCCTAAAAGAAGAGATAACTTTTACATTTTATAAACAAAGTTTATAAAATATAGACTTTAATTTTTTTGTAAAAGACAAAACAATTTATCTAGTCCAAAATGTTGTTCATGACTTAATAATTCATACCATATGAATTATGTAATATTATTTGCTAATGAAAATTATTATTTTCTAGAAATATATAATTTCCAATTAATTATAAGAGTTTATTGAATATTTGTTAAGATTAATTTCTAATAAATAATAAATTATATCAAGTTATTGTTAGTGTGACCCATTAGTATCCTATGTTAATTAGCAATATCACTTTAATATGATTCTTGAGCATACTAGATCTTTCAATGAGCTCTTCAATGTCACCAATGGAGGCTAAAAATGATTTGGGCAGGAAGGGGGTGATGGAGGATGAGGGTGTGCAAACCCTAGCCTCCTACTTCCCTTAAATAGGGAGCAAAACACAATATTAGGGTTAGCCTGATCTCACGACGTGAACATATATGTGTCAGGTCATGAGCCTAAAAAATGGTCATGCGTTTCAGTCGAATGTCACGTCGTGAGACCTTATCTCTCACGACGTGACCCTCCTTGATTTGGGGTTTATCATTTTTATTTAATTCAAAATATTGATAGATCGAGTACTTGCATTTGGATGTTACATTGTTGTAACCAACAAACCCAATTTACAAAACATTTACTATTTCTATCACAAAACCATAAGAAAAAAAAATTCATTTATCGCATCAACAATTTGATCTTTTATAATCTTCTTACTTACTAAAAGTTGATCGTTTCAAAATAGCCACAATACCAGAGGGTAGTACATATCACCGCACCAATGATTCCTTTTTTTACAAAGAACTAGAATAGTCATCAATAGAGGGTAGTACATGTCACCGCATCAATGATTCATTTTTTTACATATAACTAGAATAGTCACAAAAGCATCAAACATAGCTCTTTTTGAAGCAACTTTTGTTGGATAAAAATCAAGCAAAAAAACATTGCATTCCACGTTCTAGCTGCCACCTCACAGTTAAAAAAATGGTCTAGTTGCTCAATTTCTAATGAACAAACATGACAAAGAGTATAAGGAATATCGATACCTCTTTTGTCTAAATTATCACTAAAAGGAAGTCGATCTAACAGGACACGCCAAAAAAAATATTCACCTTTCTAGGTATAAAATGTTTCATCTCGTATGCAAGTCAATAGATTGTAGAACATGATTATCAGTCCATCTTCTAGTATCAGCAACGAAAAAGTTCCACAATCCCCTATATCCCGCCACCATTTATCTTCACAATCCGAAAGAACAATACCTTGTAGCACCACCAACAAGTCGTTTAATTGAATGTACTCGACTCCTCCTCTAATATCCCGATGTCATTGCCATTTCCATCCAGCATCAGACCACATATAAAAAATCGAGCATTCTAGGTTTGTGTCGATATGGTATAGCTGAGGGAAACAAGTTGATAAAGTTTGATCCCTACCCAAGAATCTATCAAAATTATAATCAAACAACCATTACCAATCTACCTCTTCAAACCGAGTGATCTATAATAATTTTTTTTCCACCAAACGAGAACTAGCTAAAATAATATGAGCCCACAGCCCATAACTGCTAGCCCTATGTTGACCCATCTCGAAACCTCTTTGATCACCATACAAAGCTTTAATAACTTCAACCCAAATCATAGAAATATTATTCAGAAAATGCCATCTTCATTTTTGTAGTAACTTAACATTTATAGCCGATAAGCTTCACCTAACCCTCCTTTGCATCTTTCCGCTAGCACTAAGACCCATTTGACCCGGTGCATTTTACTAACATCATCATCACTACCCCCAAAAAATTGATCTACTCGATTCAAGGTCTTTAGCAACCACCACCGAAAGGAGAAATATAGAAATATAATATATACCAATAGCACCCATAATCGATTTTAAAAGCATAGCTCGACCACCAATCGATAAAGTTGTAACATTCCATTTTGACAATTTTTATGAACCTTTGATTTCACTAGATCCCAACTTTCTATTCTGAACATGTTTTGACTAACCGGTAAACCAAGATAAGTAAAAAGCAGTTTATCTGGTTTACATCCTATGGCCTTTGCAAATCTCATATCACTTTATGATTTCAAAATTAAAACCATATGGACGCGGGGCTTTTTCGCTACCACAAGCCCACACTGCCATTTTTACTTCTTCCTGAAAAACCAACGCTTCAAGAAAAAGAAAAAGGGATTGCTTAACCAGAGCTCTTCCTCTCCTTCAGGATGACCACAAACTTTTTAAACTTTTTTTCATAAAATTCGAAAATCAATTTTTTTACCTGTCATCCAATCCAAACCTACGTCCACACCTTAAATAGCAAGTTGCATAAGTTTTCTATTCTATATACTATGATTTTTTTAGAGTTTTCATCATCTTTCTATAATCCATTTAATCTTGAGCCACATGTTTCATCTCTATATTTCCAATTCATATAGTTGAGTCTTAATACAAAACATCTTTCTTCCATAATCTCATTCGAAGGTAACCCATCATCCACTACTTTATCAATATCTTTTAATCTATTTAATAATTGAACTTAGGAAGAATTTCTTTTAGTTTTTTCCAAACCTCACCATCGCCTTATAGTCTATTTAAGCCTTTTTAGCTTATCCTAAAACCGAATACTAGCCCCTCCATTAGTAGCATTATAATCCAAACCCCAAGAATTTTTTACAATATGATCAAAATCTGGCTCATATATCCAAGAGGGAAAAATATAAACGGTCTAGGTCCAAACTCCAACACAACATTTGACTATTAAAACGGGTCTATGATCCGAAATATTTTATTCAAAGCAGAAAAATCAGAGAAATGTGTAACCACCTCTATTGAAACAAAGAACCGGTCTAATTTACTTTGTTTTGTTCCATTTGGACTCACCTTAGTAAAAGAAAAAGCCCCCATAGCCACTTCAAGAATCTCACTATCATTAATAGAATCATTATAATCTTGTGCTAACTCTTTGAAAGAACACACAACCAAATCTTTCAGACTCATTTCTAATTGCATTAAAATCTCCAAAGACACACCCATTTCCTTTATTATTTGGTTAAAATCAAGACTTGGTCATTAAGTTTTTTGTTGGTAACTTATTTATGAACATGAAATAGTTTCCTTACATTGCTTTAAACATGTAAGCAGTATGTTTAATCCACCGTACTCAAACATTTTACAAAAATAACACAAACAAGATAATTAAAAATAGAAGCTATCTCATGTTACGTCTTTAAATATCTTTAGTAATTTTTTCAAAATTACAATGAGAATGATAACATTGATTATACATGTCTAGTTGAGTAACATACGGAGTAACCCATGAAGATGCACACTCATGTCTATAACGAGTCCATTGAGGCACAATAGGAGGCATCGGGTACCCTGCGTGTAATGTTAATTTGACATAATGGTTTACATTAACAAGTCCAATTGCAATAGCAACACGTTCATGCCAAGTTGGTGGAGTAGACCAAAGCGGTAAATATGTCATGCTATCTCCAACGCTTAAACAATGTAATACCACGTTATATCTTGAAGCAATCAAGATCCCCATATCAGGCAAAGTCATCCAATACTCAAATGTCGCATCTATATCTGTACGAAAGAAATTCAAAGAGTCATGAAGTTGTAATCGACATTCCCTTCCAAAAATCTCGTCATATTCTTTCTTGTGTGTGTTTAACTCATCCATTAAATCCGATCGAATTGTAGGCCATGCATCTTCATTAAAACCAAGACAAACAGCTATTGCTCGAAATCCACAATTTCCATCACTTTTTACATCTTGTACTTCCGTTATGTACCTCTCAAACATATTCGGGAATTGATTAATGTACGAACACGAACATGAACAAGAACCATGTCTCAAGGGTTCAAAATTCCCCAAAACACTTTCCTTTTTCAAACAACTTTGTCTAAAGGGTTTTTCAATTGGTGGATCAACACGATTATTTCTCAAACACTCATCATACGTATGAGCATCGATATCACAAACCATAGTTTGTGATGCATCTTTCTCCTTTAAACTTTTTAGAAATTTTTGGCGCGCATTGTATACGGTTTGTAAAGAAGACACGTTATTTTTATTTTGTTCCTTCAATGCTAATAGAATATCCATCGGTTTAACATTCTTTTTTGTCAATTCTTCCACCAAACGAGTTTCTTCATCAGACAGTCGTCTTGCATATGCATGACCCTCCATACGCTCTGCAGGTCCATGATTATGTTCATCACATATCACCCTTAGCATCCAAAAATCATTCGCCTTCGAGTATTTTGCCGCCAAATTAAACGGACAATTTATTTTTTTTGAAAAAATATTTTTCCGAGAGGAATTTTTACTTGTGTATATACCACCACGATCACACATTAGTACAACTAGATTAGGCTTGGATCTTCTTGTAACAATAACATAACCTAGAGAACGTGCGACATTTTGGGCCCAATTCTTTAAATCTTCACTAGAATTGAACACCTGAAAATTACATTTGTTTTCGTTAACAAAATAAAATAATTAATAATGAACTTGATACGATAATTAATAATGAGGTTGTATAACATACCATGTTGGTGGAAAATGGTGATGTAGTGTTGATAACAGAATGTCCTTCATCACTGTTTACTTCGTTTTCTTCACTTTTTACTTCATTTATGTGGAAATCCATCATTTGTTTTAACTGTTGATAAATATTACAATTTGTAAGTGATGAATAAGGAAGGATAAAAGTGACTAAATCCATCATACTTTGATTTTTTTTGTTTGATATCATCTTTTAGTTTCGACAATAAAAATAACGCATTTTTATAAATTATTTGATGTCGACTATAACTAGTGAAATTTTTGACATCAAACATTCCACTAAAACAACTAAATTTTCATAATTTTCTGTTCTTGCCACTTTAAATTTTGAAAATCTTTTATGACCTATTTAACCTTGTCGACAAAGCAACATTTGTCTGGATGGGTGGTTTTATGTATTCATAATAAGTAAATAACTAAAAGGGATTCTTTTCATATACTATAAATTTAGTGGCAATATATAATCTTAATATTATATTAATAAAAATATAAAAGAGGGGTATTCACGATATAATGAGTACTTAGAAACAAATCTATTAACTAAATTTTTTATAATGAGTACTTAATCACTGGATTTAATTACCTTCATCCAAATTTTTATAACAAAGTAGTATCTAAAGTTTAAACGTATATAATGAGTACATAGAAACAAATCTATTAACTAAAAAAAAAAATAGAGATAAAGTGCAAGAAAATTTCACCATGAACACCTCCATCGAACAAAATATTATTAGGCATTCGAATAAATCCACAAAATATTAACAAAAATTAACAGATTAACAGAACCATGAACATCGATTATGCAACACGACCACAAAAAAAAATAGTAGATTCGAAGAAATGAAGAATGGAAGATGGTAGATGGGTCGACATTTGAAATAAACCCTAACTTAAGTATTAGCAAATGACAGATGGTAGATTTCGATATTAGAAGTAGAAAATTACCTTGTTATGGCATCCTCTGTCAAAACGGTGGCAACCGGCAGAACACAGCAGCGATGAGGAGCGACGGCGGTGGGGCGGAGTAGAGCGGAGGGCGGAAGCGGGGATTTTTTTGCTATTTGTAATTTGAATTGTGTATTTGAGTGGCTTTTTATTTTTTGTGCGGGGGAGTCTTTGCTCTTCCGACCATTATCTTGAAAATTGAAATTATTAAATACGATTTTTACTTTTTGACCATATTAAATTTGATGTTTGATAATTGTCAAAATCCAAAAAAACATATGTTATATTTTAATCAGTTTATGTATTAATTTTTTATTCGCTTTCGTTAATAAACCACTTACGTTTTATATTTTTCTATTGTATGTCATATCCATTCTGACTTTAAAAAATCACTATATATTGATTATTTCGTGGTTTAAACTTTAGACCACAAAAATGTCGAAATATAATATAATGGTTTTCTTTATTATGTATCATTAGTTAATAAGTATTCAAAATAAAATGATGAATGCTATAACTTTTATATATCTATATTTAAAAATAAATAAACATATAAATTATTATTTATTAACTTTTTATCTAATTTCTTGAAAATAAGCTATGTGCATGTTAAAATAATGCATTATTATAATTTTTGATCTTAGTGATTAAAATAAGTTAAGGGCAATGTCTCCGTTGTTGAGATTCAAAATGCTCGTAGTGATTAAAAAAGGACGAATTGGATAACACATAAGTTTATATAAAATTTTCCTATGAAGTGGTTAACTTTATAATTTTGTTGCAAATTTAACTAATAGAATGATTTGTTTGGAATGTTTAATATTTCTTATTTGCTAACTAGACAAAAAGTAGATGGAGTGGTTAACTTTATAATTTTGTTGCAAATTTAACTAATAGAATGATTTGTTTGGAATGTTTAATATTTCTTATTTGCTAACTAGACAAAAAGTAGATGGAGGATCCACATATGTTCCTAATTAACGAGTTATGTTAAATTGAACCCTTACGTAGATATGTATTCATTTTCCTTTATTTATTCTTCTTTTTTTTCTCAAAGCATCACGATTTTGTACATTGGTTTTCCACTTTGCGACGATGAACCACTTGAGCAACATTGGAAAGCTATTGGACAAAATCGTGATGCTATGAGAGAAGAAAATAAAAAAATAAGGGAAAGTGAGTACAAATCTCCTTACAGATTTAATGTAATATATATGTTTGCCAATTAAGATCATATATGGAAACCACGCCAACTTTTTGCCTAATTAGCAAGTGAAAAACATGTAACACTTGAAGCAAACCGGTCGATTGATTAAATTTACAACAAAATTGTAAACCGAGTGACTTAATTGAGAAAAAAGAAAACATGATATCAAAATCAGAATTTTATGTAATGTTAGTGTCTTTCATGCAATTTGTCAAAATAAAAACATTACTAAAACCTATACGTCAATAGTAACATATTAAGTATGCAGATGTCATTGTTACTCTCAGAAGGAGGTCCCACTTTGTTGTTTGCATCATTGATGTTCCCTTCAACCTTATTGAAATGAATTCCATATTAAGCATCACTTAGTTGGCTAGTTGAGATCAAGTTGTATTTTAATTCCATTGACATGGTTTGTTAAACACAACTGATTGACATTGAAGTACATAAGACGTATGTCTTATGGCTTGTCCTTAATCTCATATCTAAAGGTAACATCATGTCCATTTTCCTAAACTTATTGTTTTAGAAGGGAATTTAGCTCATTTATGTGAGAAAATAATCCACTGTCTAAGTACCTTATGTGTTTATTACCATGTCTCATATAACAAAGAGTTAAAAACCTTTGGAAACCTATTTTGAAATGGGTTTAACTGTAACATTTTCACTTTTATAACCGGGCGAAGGAAAAATGTGGTGATATTTTTAGGACAAACAGTCATCATACATTTTTATAGCAATTTCGATAATCTATTTGTGTTTGACAAACTTAGGGCTCAAACTGTTTGATCTTTTTAGATCCTTTTCTAAATGTACAGTTAGAGGCTAAGTATGTTATTTCACTATAATTATAAAATATTTGGTTACTTTGTTAGCTTTGACATGCTTTTCTACTTGATTTGTTGAGACAACTCAAGTTGTTTTGCAATCGTAGTTGGCTTGGCAATGTGATTTATCTTAAAATTAATTTATCTTAAACAAAACTTGTATGTTTCAAGTACTAGCTTTATTACTTTTGTTCAAGATGTCCCTAGTGAATTTAAATTTCTCTTTTGATGGACTCTTAAAAATGGTAACTTCCGTTTTGCATACAAGAATGTCATTTAGAAACCCCCTTACTTCGATTAATTCATATATTATAATTAAAAGTTCAAGTTTTACTTATATAAAAATTATTTTCAAATTATCAAGTTCCTTTTGAATTTTAACTTTACTTTTATGAGACCTTTGAAGATCAACATACAAATAGTAAAAAAATGGTATATTTATTATTAAAATAAATGAAATTTTAACTTTGAAAGTTGATAAATAGAATATGGATATCAGTTAACTATTAAACAACCTTAACAGCTTGGGGTAGCGTATCTTCAAAAGCACTTGATTTGTCACTGGTTTCATCATTCTTAGCCATCATACACAAGTTGGAAATTTGTGTTTAAACTTCTTCATCATTAAAGGAGACAAATTTAACTTCCTAGTTTTCCTCCATAATAATCAACACTTTATATCCACTACTTTTTTATCTTAAAAGAAGCTAATATCCTTTCTGTATTTAGCATCAAAAAAGTCTACTACACCAAAAACTTTGGTCATGCAATCTTTTGCAAATTTTGATGTTTTATCCTTATTTGTAGCCTGCATCATTTAAGGTTGCTTTGGTTTTTCATTCCTTGAAGATTAACCACCTTCAAATATTTTCTGGTTAGATTTGGGTAGCTTCCTTTAGGACAAAAGTCATTTAATTATTTAATTAGAACGACAACTTGAGTTGCCAAATCAATAAATTTATCCTTGGATTTTCTTTTATGTCTTTAATGCTCCTTTTTATGTGCTTGTTCAGCCCTAAAAAGAAGCCAGTAAGGCGCAATAAACCATAGTTACAATAGGAAAGGTTTAAACCTTAGACTGCTCATGTTTCCTTATGTTTTCAAATTAACTTTGAAGATTCATAAACTTGATCTTTTCATTATTATTAAGCACATGGACATGATTGATTTGTGAACAAAAGTATTTCAAGTTTTATCAATCTTGAATTTCTTTAAGTCGTTAACATGATTGTTGGATCAACTGAATGTATGTGTAACATATGTGTAACAGACTCACTTTTTTATGCAAAGAAAAAACTCATATCTTTGATATATGTTATTCTCTTAATGAGAATTTCCCTCATCTGATCCATTATAAGCTACTATTAGAATTCCCAACATCTCTGTGGCAGAGTTTTCATCCTTCCACTTGAAGTAAAACTTCATATAGAAGTGCATTATGTATAATAGATTTTACTCTAACATCTAATTTGATGTTATTTTTCTTATCAACTTTAATGATTTGAATTGTTGGTAAGTTGATTTTTCTTACATTAGCAACATGAGTACTTCAATATATGAGTTTAAAAATAAAGGATAAGAGAATTATTGAGGATGACGGTGTATGAGGATGACGGTGATGACTCCAGTCCTAGACACCATCCGAAAGGCTTAGGTGGAGGCTTTGAGGCCATAGAACCTCAATAGGGAGTGAGTGATCAGATAGGATTCCGAGTTTGAGACGGATAGTTGAGGGCTTATGACTTTCTGTGGGTGGATTTGGGTGCCCTATACAGGTGGAGCTCAGCGTATATTGATGGACGAGGCGCATAGATCGAGATTCTCGATCTATCCCGGAGCCACTAAGATGTATTTGGATCTGAAGAGAGATTACCGGTGGCCTTGTATGAAGAGGGATGTGGCATGGGTAGTTGAGAGGTGCTTGACCTGTCGTCGGGTTAAGGCGGAGCACCAATGTCCAGATGGCCCGTTACAGCCTCTAGAGATTCACCAATTAAAGTGGGAACAAATTTCCATGGATTTTATCACCAAATTATCGAGAACCGCACGAGGTGTTGATGTGATATGGGTGATTGTGGACCGGCTGACGAAGAGCGTTCACTTCCTTGCTATCAGTGAGAGATTTTCTGCATAGAGATTGGCTGAGATCTATGTGAGAGAGGTGGAGGCACGACATGGGGTGCTGACTTCGATGGTGTCAGATCAGGATGTGTGTTTTACTTCCAGGTTCTGGAATAGGTTTCATGAGGAGTTGGGTACCCAATTGCACTTCAGTACCGTATACCATCCATAAACTGACGGGCAGAGTGAGCAGACGATTCAGATGCTAGAGGACATGTTGCGAGTATGTGTTATGGACTTTGGAGGAAGTTGGGACACCTATTTGCCCTTGGCTGAGTTTTCTTATAACAACAGCCACCATTCTAGTATTGGTATGCCTCCTTGTGAGCTCTTATATGGGAGGAGGTGTTGGACCCCTATCCGTTGAGGATAGGTAGGGCATAGAGTGATGGGTGGCACAGAGATAGTGCTCAAAATGACTTAGCAGATTCAACAGGTCAGACATAGGTTACTGACAGCTCAGAGTCACCAAAAGAGTTATGCAGACGGCGACGATCCGAGTTTGAGTTCCAGGTGGGAGATTTTGTCCTCCTAAAGGTATCCCCTTGGAAAGGGGTGATTCGATTCAGGAAGTGGGGAAAGTTACATCCCAGATATATCAGACCTTTCAGGGTGATTGCCAGAGTTGGGAAGGTAGCTTATCGGTTGGATCTACCTGCAAAGTTGAGCCAGATACATAACACCTTCCACGTGTCTCAATTGAGGAAGTGTGTAGCCGACGAGACGGCGGTGATACCGTTAGAGGACATTCAGTTTGATGCGAGGCTGAATTACATCGAGAGGAAAATAGCAATCTTAGATAGGAAGGTGAAGGTCTTGAGGAATAAAGAGGTGCTGTTGGTTCAGGTCCAGTGGCAACATCGGAAGGGGTCCGAGTGGACTTGGGAGCCGGATTCCGAGATGCGCGAGCAGTACCCAGAGTTATTTCCAGAAGATAACTTCAAGGGTAAAGTTTGATTCTAGTGGGGGAGAATTGTAACATCCCATGATCAGGAATAGCTTATAAACCCTTGTTCTTTTGGTGATTGTCAAATTTGGACCTTTATTTGAGAAAAGGTGGTAAGTGAGTATGCAGGGAGTACGTTCAACATAATTATGTGCATGTTTTTGAAGCGGAAGCCACCTAGTACGCTGGGCATTCCAGAGGGTACATTAGGCGTACTAAGCCTAGATTGAAAACCCTAATTAAGGATGTGTACCTATTTAATGGACATGATGGCCTCATTTTTGGCCACCATTCCCAGACCTCAACCCTCTCAAACCCAAATTTCTTGTACCTTGAGGTTGTGTGTCCATTGTGAGCCATTAAGTGTTCTTGTGGTTTCTTTGGAGTGAAGAAGGAGCTTTGAAGAGGAAGGAGTGGGAGTCTAGGCTTTGGATCTAAGCTTATTTGTGGTTGGAGCTTTAGTTAGAGGTATAGAGCTCAAATCTTTCTCACCCCTTTTGATTTGTGCATCATTGTAGTCCATTTTATGATTTTGGTCCTAAAGTTGGATGCTTTATGAGTTATTGAAACTCCACAGCCTAATATATGTCCCTTTGAGTGTTTTAATGGAGTGGTGTCATAAAAACGGAGTCTTGGACGTCAAAACCACCCCATGCATGAGATAGGAGCATTATTGAGAATAAATAGTGAGAGTTTTGGTGTTTGTGACTTTTTCAGCCATGCAAAGGCTTAAAGTCACTGAATTTATGGAGTATGAGCCTTTAGGGAGTCTAGATCTGAGATTTGAGCTAAGGTCTTAACAGATTAAGACCAAATGAGTAGGAAGAGCAAAATTGGGTCATACGCTGAGCGTAATCTCAGTACATGCAACGTAAGGTCGAGAATCCCTGATGCATACATGGTGAAGGAGTACGCCTAACGAAGAGGGCTTGTATGCGCAGCGTACACGCTGTCGTTGACTTATAGTTGACTTTTAGGGTTTTGTCAATTTGTGGACTATTAAGGCCATAAAAGGGTAAAATGGTCTTTTATCCCTCTGTGAGTTTATAGAAGGGTTTAGTCTAGCTTCTTTGAGAGTCGTTATTAATTAGAGATAATTATTGTATGTGTTAGGCGGAGGCTAGACCGGTGATTTGAGTTTGAGGTTATTCGATTTCTTACGAGGTGAGTCTTCTCACTATAGTTACCTAGAGGGGTAATATTTGTGTAACCAGAGTGTCTGATGTGCTTATATTGAGTATTGTGATATCATGCATTATGTCTATGTGATTTATGTTGTGTATTATTTCGAGCTTGCTGAGTTAGGACCGGAGGGTCCACCCGAGTTGTGGGATCGGAGGGTCCCACTGAGACACATTGACCGGAGGGTCTTATATGAGTATAGCCATGAGAGGCTAAAGAGATATGTGTGGTATTTTGGGGAAATCACTAAACTCCATGCTTACCATGTTATCTATTATGTGTTTTAGGTACTTCTCAGGATCATAGGAAGGCACCGGCTTGATTATACACACATGAGTTGGAGATATGTTTTGGAGGATCCTAGATTTTGTATTAAATAATTAATGAACATGTGTTTTTGATAACTCGATATTTGGGGATTTTTATGGTTGTGTTAATGAAATTAATGCGCTTTTTAAATGAAAATTTTGTTTGGAAATTTACGGTGTTACAGGATTCATGTTGGTAATCATGTGGTTTGTTGTCGTGACCATGCTTAGCATTCCATTGTGATTCCATTATGTGTTTACTTTCTGAGTTGGGTGTAAAAACCTTTTACTTTGTGTTTATGATTGAATAAATCTTTGAGTTTATGGTTTAATTGCTATTTGGATTGATTATTCTTAGTTAATTTATTTTGTCAAGTTTGACTGAAGATCCACCTGTGTTAAAGATTGTTGTTTTGTTTCCTATTGCTGAGTTAATAAAGTTTAGATGACTTTCTAGCTGAGTTAATATGAATCATAGTTGTCCAGTAACCATTGGTGATTATGACTAGAGTATTGACCAAAACCTAGGGTTAGGGAATAAAGTAATGAACTTTAATGTGTGTGTGCATGAGTAGAATGACCATTCTATGCAAGATTTAACTCTTATTACCATTAGGGTTAAATAAGATTAAATCTTGCTTAATACGAACTAAAACTGATTTGCATGATTGTTTGCTCACCTAATCAATGAGTTAATAGTTGTGTTGAAATCAAATGATTAGTTGTTGTGACCATGACACTAGTCATATTAGGAATCGGTGAATAATGAATAAATATCCATGGTATTAGTAGTTAACCATTAATTTCAGATGAAATTTATCTAAACCAAAGTACCTAAAGAAATTTGACTTCCAGTCAGTTTATTGATATTTGATGGTATTCAAAGTATTTAATAAAAGATTTCTTTATTGCTTTCATGTGTTTAGTGTAACCTATAATTAAAAACTCCAAATTAATTCACCACCATTCCCCTAGTGTTCGACATCTGTTCTTACCACAGCTATACTATTATAGGAT